AAAGCTTAGGTTGGTTAGAATTTAAAGCATTCCTTCTCAGCCCTTTGCATGGACAATCATTGCTCTTCTTTTCAAATCATTTATTGCTTTATTTATTTGAAAGGCAGAGAGAAAGAGAGAGAGAGAGAGAGACCCTCATGGACTGATGGACTGGGCAAGCTTGAAGCTAAGAGCTATGGAATCAATTTGGGCCTCCCATGTGTGTGGTAATGACCCAAGTACTTGAGCCACTACCTGCAGCCTCCAAGGATATGCATTAGCAGGAAGATGCAATCAGAAGCAGAAACAGAACATGAACCCAGGGGCTCTAATGTAAACTGTGGGTTTCACAAGCAATATCATAACTGCTGCATCAAACATCTGCCCCCATTGCTATTCTCAGGGCTAACTCAATCATCACTGCCCAGTTCAGAAATCTCTAGGTTTAGTATCGTGTAACATATTTTTAATGCAGTCTTCTTTGTAATGTTCTCCTTCACTTTCTATTTGTGTCATTTCATTATCGCGACTTTCTCTTTCACTGCACAGTGATTTTGATTGCAGCTTGGCTCTGGGTTCAAACGCTTTCGGGGGAGGGCAGGTATGAGTATGCGTCCTGATTTCCACTAGGTGTCTCAGGATGGTCAGCTTTACCCTAGTTGTGACCCAGTTGGCTTGCCTTTTGCAAGCTTGTGAGTCTGGAGTCATAGCTGTTTAGCTCTGACCTTGATTTACACAGGAGCTTCCAAAACTCTAGGCTTACACAATTGACAATGACAAGATTGGAGTTAACATCAATGGGCACATGGATTCAGCCACAACACTGTCCCAGCTTTCTCTTGGCTTACATTATATTATTTAAGTCAAATAGCTATAGTGACATTCATTATGGTAGATAGCCTGGATAATAGCCAATTACATCATCCATGCCCTAATCCCTGGAACCTGTGATATATATATATATATATATATATATATATATATGTTACCTTGTAGATATGATTAAAGATTTAGGATGGGAGAGAGATCCTGGCTTAGCTGGCTAGGTCCTACATGTAATCACCCACTGTCCAGATGAGTGGAGGCAGACAAAAGTTTGACTGTTTGCACAAGAGAATAAGATGATGTCAGGGAAGCAGAGAATTGAAGAGGCTATGCTACTAGCTTTGAATATGAAGGAAGGGTCTTGAGCCAAGGAATGCAACTCTGGAAACTAGAAATGGAAAAAGATTCTTCCTCAGAAGGTCCCAAGGGAGGATAATCCTGTTACCATCTTGACCTTAGCCCAGTGAAATTAATTTCATTCTTCTAACATCCAAAGTTGTTGAAAAATAAATGAGTGTTCTTTGAAGAACTGAGTTGTGTTACTTTATTGGAGCAACCACAAGAGACCAATGCATACCACAAATATGTATGGATTTCAAAATTTTTTGCACTAAAATAAATGTATCTTTAATTTCATTCCTTCATGAATTTTTTGATGTGCATTCATATTTTGAACTTTAACTAGAATGGGTTCAAAATACCTGAAACGTTACCTTTTTTTTAATCTAGAGCATTTCAGAAAATAATAACTGCTTTGGAGCATTCCATGAAGTTGTATTTATAATAAGGGACCAAATGATTGCTGGAAACTCAGTGATTGATGTTAAAAAATGCAAACTCCTCTTTAAAACAAAAGATTCATTTATTTATTCTGAAAGAGTTACAGAGAGAGAGAGAGAGAGAGGCAAATCTTCCATCCACTTGTTCACATCTCCGATGGTCACAACAGCCAGGGCTGAGCCAGGTCAAAGCCAGGAGCCAGGATTTTCACTCAGGTCTCCTACATGAGTGCAGGGGTCCAAGCACTTGGGCCATCTTCTGCTGCTTTTCCCTGGTCATTCGTAGTGTCCTGGATTGGAGATTGAACGGCCAAGACATGAACAGGTGCTCATGTGGAATATCCACATCACAGGCAGAAGCTTAACTCATGACACCACAATGCAACCCTGCAAACTCTTTTTTAAGAAAATGGGTGAGTTTACAGATTTTGCCTTTTAATATTTCCCCTCAGTTTTCATAATATAGCTAGATGGCTTATATTTGCAAGCAATAATAGGAAGTGTTTTTTTTTTTAAAGATTTATTTATTTATTTGAAAGAGTTATAGAGAGTGAGGAGGAAGGAGGGAGGGACAGAGAGAAAGAGAGAGATCAATTTTCCATCTGCTGGTTCACTCCCCAGATGGCATGACAGCCAGGGCTGGGCCAGGCTGAAGCCAGGAGCCAGGAGTTTCTTTCAGGTTTCCCAAGTACTTGGATCATCTTCTGCTGCTTTTCTCAGGACATTAGCAGGGAGCTGGATTGAAAATGGAGCCTTCTGGACACAAACCAGCACCAGTATGATATGCCAGCCTCGCACGTGGTGGATTTACCTGCTCTGCCACAACACTGGCCCCCAGGAAGAGTTCTTGAGTGCCTTTGAGTATATCCTCCCACCGACACTTTAGTGCTGTGAATCAGTTGCAGAGTGCAAGTTTATTTATTTGTATAGATTTTGTATTATTCTCTGATATACACCAGGTCTCTGTTTAATGCTTACTTCTAGTATCTGGGTCAAATTGTAGGTCTGGGAAAATGTCAAATAGCCCTAAACAAAGGTGAAACAGAAGAAAGGTTATCACAGAGTAACAAATAAACGTTTGTACTAATTCCACTCCTTTTTGTGTATACTGTGTAAACCAGTTAGAATATTTCTACTCTTTTCTATGCACTTTCCATGGCCTATTATAGGAATGCATATTCAAGACCTCTATTCCAATCAGACTTCACAAAAGACCTTTGGATCTGAATACTTTCATTTTCAAATCGCGTTCTCAAGAGAGTGGAGTTAATGATAGCAGATCAGCATGGCAGGTATTTTAGAGAGGTTCTGAGGCTGCTAACCCAGTTCTGCTGCTGCTCATATTTCTGAATCCTACTTGGAACTGGGCCAAAATCACCTCAAAGCCACATTCTACTTAGCCGTGGTGATGACAGGACCCCGTGGTGCCAGTTCCTCTCAGCAAGCCTTGTACCTGACTCCTGAAGACACTTTGAAGAAGAAAACACACAGATACATTCCAGCCTTGCTTAGAATGACTTAGCACAAGATACCATTCTTTGAGAACACAGAATTCCAAGCAATCTTCTAATACTGAGCAGGAGTTATCTATTGTTATTCAGAAATCAATGTTGGAAAATCTTTTAAAGCTTTTCCGGTAGAGACATTTGAGTCAAGTGGAACCTGGACCATATTTGAACCTGCTGTCAGTTAAAGCTTTACAGTTCTTATTATACACTTGGGTGTTGTGGTTATTGTTCAAATGGAAAGACAACTCTGACCTGAGAGCTGACATTGCCAGCTCTAGGGCATGGCCAGTCCTTCTTGTCAAAATGTGTTGTGTGCTGGCTTCAAGTAGCAGGGGAAATCTACAAATGCTGAGGGGTGAAAGGGAGATTGAAGTCAAAGCTACAGGACAGAGTATTTGGACAAGCTTAGGTTATAGGAGACCAGGGCTGGAAGGAAGACTTCAGTTCCCAGAAGAAACTGGAAATACACAAAAAGGAGGGCATCGTCAGAGGCATGAGTTCACAAGAGGCAAGGGGACTCAAGGGTGGTTAAATTTGTAACAGAGAAGTGCTGTGTTCATGGAATTAGGAGAGAAAGGGAAAAGATGCAGATAAGTATTAATCTGCTAAATTTGCAAGTGACTTCCTATGTTTAAGTGAAGAGGAGGAATGTTCAGTGATAATATTGGTGAATAATGTGATAGAAAGCTACTACAAGACGAATGTTAAGCAGAATGAGAACATGGAAAGACTATACCTCACAAGTCTGTGACAGACAATCAGCTAGGATGTGCTCTCCTAAGTCAGTGTCAACACCCTTGTCAACACCCTCTGGTCTGTTGTCATTGTGTCAGGGATGCACAAAACCCTAGGAACACAGCACATCTTCCTCTAGTGGCAAGTGTTTTTTTGTTTGTTTGTTTGTTTTTGGAACATTTGGGTTGAAATTTCAGTTACTTATCTATTTTTAAAATCTTTTATACAAAGGATAGAATAAAACTAGGGTACGCTTTTAAAGGTAAATAGAAATTTTCAAATAAATTAGACACTATTGTGATAATAACTCCCACACTCCCTGAACTGCTGTGTGTTCAGTTTCTTCTGTCAGCAGAGGAATGTCTGTGGGTGAGCTGAGAAGTTGGGGTGCTGATTTATCCAAAAGCATAGATAGGCAATGTAGCAGGAGCAGAGGAAACACAGTACATTTTTTTTCTGGATTGTCAATGGCCACAGGCTAAAGAGCTGAGCATTCCAAAGTGCTTGTGCAAGGCCCTCCAAGTAGCTCTTTAGTCAATGGGATAAAGTGATTATCAAATCCTTCTGACCTAGGTTATATTATCTCTGTTTTACAAATTTGGAACCTGATCCTCAGAGGAGAGCAATTGGCCTAAGTTACACATTTGATCAACAGCAAGAGAACTAAGAGAGAAGGACTCTGATGGCTTACAAGGCTAGGAGGCAACGGAGGAATTGTAGATAAGCAAGAGCACAGCCTGGGCAATGTGGAAAGATAGCAAAGGGAAGAACTGTTATTGCAGAGAAACAAAGAGAGGAAAAAGGGAGGAAGGAAGTGAGAGAGTGCTTCCATCTTCTTGTTAACTTCCTAAATATGTACAACAGCTGGGGCTGGGTGCCATTTTACTCCCCGAATGTCTGTAACAGTTGGGGTAGGACAGGGTTCAAGACCAGGAGCTGGGAACTCACTCCAGGTCTCCTACATTGATGGCGGAATTTCAAATACTTGAATCATCACTGTTGCCTCCCACAGTGTGCATTAGCTCACAGCTGGAATCAGAAGCCAGAGCATAGAATCAACCCCAGGTCTGATGTGGGATGCAGGTGGGCATCTCACTTGCTAGGCCAGCTCCTGCCCTAAAGGCCCTTTTATTTACTGGCCTAGACTTAGCAAAATTCTGTGAGCTCCATTTTTTTTTTAACTTTTATTTAATGAATATAAATTTCCAAAGTACGGCTTATGGATTACAATGGCTTCCCCCCCATAATGTCCCTCCCACCCGCAACCCTCCCCTTTCCCACTCCCTCTCCCCTTCCATTCACATCAAGATTCATTTTTGATTCTCTTTATATACAGAAGATCAGTTTAGCATACATTAAGTAAAGATTTCAACAGTTTGCTCCCACACAGAAACAGAAAGTGAAAAATAATAGATGATTTTTAAAATGATGATGAAATTAGATCAGACCTATTGTCATGTTTAATCCCAGTGAGAGTCAAGTTGGGAATTGATAATTTCTTCTTTTTTTTTTTGAGCTCCATTTTAATACTTGAAAATGGCCTTAAACTTGCATCCAGCTGTTCAGAGTGGTGGTTCTTTTGCTTCCCAGCCAACAGAACTCTGAGATAATGTGGAAGTTTCCTTCCTCTTTTGGGCCTGAACCATAGATCATGCAGATCCTAAGGAAAAAAAAATGGAGTAAACTAGTTTGGATTATTTCTAAGTAACTCAGTTTTTCTGCATAACATCTATTTGGGGAAAAAGAATGGATTTAAGCAAATTATGTCTTCCTGCTTTTCCCCCATAACATAAGTTATGGCAAACATATAGGGGACCAGTTTTTGTCTCCCCTCCTCCCACTACACAATTCTGTCTTTTGTGTTCAGATTTATTGTTTTAATTTTTAAAAGATTTATTTTTTAATTATTTGAAAGGCAGAGTTACAGAGAGAGAGAGAGGGAGACACAGAGAAAATCTGCTAGTTCACTGTCCAAATGTCTACCATGGCCAGGGATGGGCCAGGCTGAACCCAGGACCCAAGTGCTTCTTCTAGGTCTCCCATGTGGGTAACAGGGGCCCCAGCACTTGGCCATCTTCTGCTGGTTTTCCAGGCACATTAGCAGGGAGCTGGATCACATGTGGAGCAGCCGGGTCTCAAACTGATGCGCATATGGGACGTTGGCATTGTAGGAAGCAGATTAACCCATTCTGCAACAACGTTGGCCCCTTTTTGATTGTTTTAAAAGACTTTTTCCACATTAACTTTATTTTCATTTTTTTAAAATATTGATTTATTTATTTGAAAGAGTTACAGAGAAAGAGAGGGGGAGAGACAGAAGGAGAGATATTCCATCTGCTGGTTCACTCCCCAGATGGCATCATTAGCCAGGGCTTGGCCAGGCCAAAGACAAGAGCCAGGAGCTTCTTCCAGGTCTCCCACATTGGTACAGGGGCCCAAGTACTTGCGCCATCTTCTGCTGATTTTTCCAGGCCATTAGCAGGGAGCTGGATCAGAAGTGGAGCAGCCAGGATTAAACCGACACCCATATGGGATGCTGGCATTGCAGGCAGCAGCTTTACCCACAACGCCACAACGCCAACCCCTCCCCACATTAATTCTAAAAGCGACCTATTCATTCTCTTGGAATTTTAAGTAATTATTGTTATCATGCATCTAATATGCATTTAGTGACCACAAACTATATTTTCAACATTCTGCTTCCCCCCTCCTTTATTGGAAAGACACCAAGAGACTTACCTACAGTCAGATGTCATCATTAGGTGTTACCTTATTGACATGTTTCAGCCCTGTTTTTCTGGCAGATGAATACTAAATCCTAAGGTCAGATATAGGAGGGGATTTGCAATAGGCTGGGTGGTCCAGTTTAGAACTTGATGTTTCAAGAAGCAAGATAAGATCAGAAGAGTGTAGGAATCAGGCAGAGCACTGGGAATATTAAGAGTGATCTAAAATTACTGTGTTCAGTAGAGCTGCAAGGTCATAGTAAAATTTTCACAAATCAGTGAGCTTAAAGATACAAGTATTGTGCTTTAAAATACACTCATGAGCTGTGTGCCAGGCAGTTGGGATTCAGCCAGGACTGCTCCATCCTTACCCAAGATTCCCTTCCTCGTTCAACTTAGTAGTAGTCGCTGCAAATGAAGCAGCCTGGTGTCTGTTAAACCTACACCCTAGAGGGCTTCTATGCGCAGCTCAGCAAAAAAAAAAAAAAAAAAGGTGAATACTGGTTATACTGGTTATACTGGTTAGCAGGTCTTATCTTTCATGAACTTTGTAAATTAAGAACAAGGAGCAGTCTTGGTGCTTTATCTTGGAATCAGTATTTCCAGATCAGTTTGAGATATTTTGTCCAAACAGTGGAGGCTGATGAAAGCAATGTGACAGATTTTTAGATTAGACAAGTTAATTGGTAACTTAATACAGAATCTACTAAGCTAATGTGTGTGCATCTAAATTGACCAGGAGGTCCTTGTCACATGCAAGTTAGTTTTTGGATGGAAAGCATTTTTTTTTTTTTAAGATTTATTTATTTTATTTTGAAGGCCAGAGTTATACAGAGAGAGAAGGAGAGACAAAGACAGGGGTCTTTCATCTGCTGGCTCACTCCTCAATTGGCTGCACAGTTCTAAAGCCAGGAGCCAGGAGTTTCTTCCAAATCACCCACATGTGCACAGGGGCCCAAGCACTTGGGTCATCCTCTACTGCTTTCCCGGGCCACAGCAGAGAGCTGGATCAGAAGTGGAGCAATCAGGACTCAAACTGGTGCCCATATGGATGCCGGCACTGCAGGCGGTGGCCTTCCTGCTGCACCACAGCGCTGACCCTGAAAGCATTTTTGAGATCATGCCATTTTTCCAAGGGCAATAGGGACTAGCTGATAATGTAAAACACCAAATGCGTAAGAATAAAACATGAGAATGATATGTGATTATATTTTGAAGTCAAGTTGGTAAAATTTGAAAATTCTTGCTATTCAAGGAGTAGTAATGCAAAAATGTCATGAGGGACATAAACATTAAATTCAGAAAGTACTGTCTGACCTGCCTTGCAGGGGGAGATAATAGTGTGATTTCAGCGCCAGAGAGTGGGTGTCAAGCCTAGCCGGTAAGATGTCCTTGCCCCATGTGAGTGCTTGGACTTGATTCCCAGCTTCTGGTTTCAGATTACCACCAATGCAGATGCTGGAAACAGTGGTGCAGTGTTGGCTCAAGAAGTTGGGCTCCTGCCACTCACACGGGAGACCTGAATTATGTTCCTGGCTCCAGGCTCCAGGCTTCTGTGTTTCCCCAACCCTGGGCATTTGGGCATTTGGGGAGCGAAAGGACAAATGAGAGTTCTCTTTCCATCTGTCTTTGTCTCTCTCCTCTCTCTCTCTTTCTCTCTCTCTCTCTCTCTCTCTCTCTGTGTGTGTGTGAGTTTCCAGCTTTCAAATTAACAGAATAACAAAAACAAACAACAGCAATCAAACCTAGGAGACTTGCCTGTCATTTTCATTAGAGATCTCCACAAAACTGAGGCTATTTTTACAGGCAGTTTGGAGAAGGATTTAATCAGAGACTGCCTTCTTCATGGATTCTGGGGCAACCTACCAGTGCAGTTACTGAGCCTCCAGCAACCCTCTCTCGGCATGTGAGCTATGTTCTAAACATTGGACTGCCTCTGAAAATTATTATTTTTTTTGACAGGCAGAGTGGACAGTGAGAGAGAGAGACAGAGAGAAAGGTCTTCCTTTTGCCATTGGTTCACCCTCCAGTGGCCGCCACGGTTGGTGCACTGCGGCCGGCGCACCGCGCTGATCAGAAGGCAGGAGTCAGGTGCTTCTCCTGGTCTCCCATGGGGTGCAGGGCCCAAGGACTTGGGCCATCCTCCACTGCACTCCCTGGCCACAGCAGAGAGCTGGCCTGGAAGAGAGGCACCGGGAAAGAATCCGGCGCCCCGACTGGGACTAGAACCCGGTGTGCTGGCGCCGCTAGGTGGAGGATTAGCCTATTGAGCCGTGGCACCGGCCTGAAAATTATTCTATTTCAACCACTAAATGGAAAGTGGAGACTGTAGGGAGTGGGCATGTGAAAACAGCACTGAAGCAGTAGGTTGGGAACATAAGGGAAAAAATGGAGAGGATTCCCTGACCCTTGAGCGAGTGCACGTATGCTTAGAATTGGAAATTTAGAAATCACCAGTGTGGTATGGTTGAGAAATTAGAAGTCAGTTTGCTTTAGGTCTGTGAACACAGATATAAGTGGAATTTAACATTTAAACGTGTATTCATAGTTCTTATAAGCCAAATCAAGAACATAATATTGTTACTTTTTATAAAAACAATGAGAATTACCCTTTCTGAGGGAGTCTTACTGTGACCAATTACTGTTATTTTCCTTTTATCTTCAAACTCCTTTTACTTTAACCTTGGCATATCAGAAATGCTTTTCCAAAGAGATGAATTCACGTGGATTTTTTCTGTTCCTTTTGGAGAGATCCCTGTGTTTGACTCCTGTAGGAAGAACAGTTGATTGTAAGGCAGTGGGTAACTGAGAGTCAGGTTAGGGACGTGTCACTCAGCTCCTCCAGGTCCACCTCACTCTGTCCCACAGCCTTGGTGTCATTCAGAAGCACCAATAATTGTGGCTACAGGATGCCTTTTAAATCAGTCTCTCATCTGATGTCCCACTTTGAAACAAAAAGCAATATAGCCTTTATCCTCACTGAGGAGTTGACCTTTAGTGTAATAATTTGTTCTAAATTTAGACTTCACAAACTTTACACTGGAGACCAGAGATTGGGTTATAATAGCAACTATTTAGCTTTTATTAATCTCTGGCATTCAAAAAGAGAGGTCACTTCCCTTGAGCCATTTGCTATCAAAAAGGAAGAGAAAAATTTTAGTGGGAAAGGCATTTGACATTGATATTGAATAATATTTTTAAATGAATAACATTTGATAATGATGATGACTGATTATGGCGAGGAGGAGGAAGGAGAAGAGGAGAGAGAACTAGAAGGGAATGAACAGGAGCAAGGGTTAATGCGGTTATCTTGCTGTGAGCTAGAGGCCATGAAATGCTGCTTTCAGAGGTTATGACTTTTAACTCCAGGTTAGCCTCATAATATTTGTCCTATTGTTTTTTACAGTTAGGAACTCTAAGATATGATGAAGTATCTTGCTCAGAGATCTACAGCTGAAAATCAGGGAGTATGAATGAAACTCAGGCCATGTGCACTGAACCCCTGCCTTGCACTGTTTGATGCTGTTGGTCTTGCTTTTCTAGCTGAAGGAAAAGGAAGGAAGGATATCATGTAATGAATAGAAACAGGGAGAGAAAAGGAAGAGAAAGAAGGATAGAGAAAAAAATCTAAAAGAGATCAAAGAAGAGCAGGAGGAGGTGTGTAAGTAGGGACAGAAAGGGAAACTGAGGCTATATCTGGGTAGTCTGTGTATAGCACAGGATGCTACAAGAGCAGTAGGTCTGGGTTCCAACCCTGGCTCCCTGTCATGTCAATACACTTTGTGGTACACTCTGCTGAATCCTTGGCATGTTTATTTATGTGCAGTCATTTTCCAGTTTCAAATCCCAGCTTTGTTTCAGGGTTTTCTTTTTTTAAAGATTTATTTTACTTATTTGAAAGGCAGAGTTACAGAGAAAGAGGGAGAAATAGAGACAGAGAGATCTTCCATTTGCTGCTTCACTCCCCAGATGACCGCGACTGCCAGGGATGGGCCAGCAAGAAACCAGGAGCAAGGAGAGTCTTCTGGGTATTTGAATTGGGTGCAGTGGCCCAAGCACTTGGATCGTCTTCCACTGCTTTCTCAGGCATATTAGCAGACAGCTGGATCAGAAATGGAGCATTTAAGGACTCAAATCCGAACCCACATGCAATGCTGGCATTACAGGCAGCATCTTTTTTTTTTTTTTTTTTTTTTTTTTTTTTTTTTTTTTTTTTTTTTTTACAGGCAGAGTGGACAGTGAGAGAGAGACAAAGAGAAAGGTCTTCCTTTTGCCATTGGTTCACCCTCCAATGGCCGCCGCGGCCAGCATGCTGTGGCCGGCGCACCGCACTGATCCGAAGGCAGGAGCCAGGTGCTTCTCCTGGTCTCACATGGTGTGCAGGGCCCAAGCACCTGGGCCATCCTCCACTGCACTCCCGGGCCATAGCAGAGAGCTGGACTGGAAGAGGGGCAACTGGGACAGAATCCGGCGCCCCAACCGGGACTAGAACCCGGTGTGCCGGCACTGCTAGGTGGAGGATTAGCCTATTGAGCCGCGATGCCTGCCAAGATTCATTTTCAATTATCTTTATATACAGAAGATCATTTTAGCATATATGAAATAAAGATTTCAGAAGTTTGTACCCACACAGAAACACAAAGTGTAAAGTACTGTTTGAGTACTAGTTATAGCATTAATTCACATTGTACAACACATTAAGGACAGAGATCCTACATGGGGAGTAAGTGCACGGTGACTCCTGTTGTTGACTTAACAATTGACACTCTTGTTTATGGCGTCAGTAATCTCCCTAGGCTCTAGTCATGGGTTGCCAAGACTATGGAAGCCTTTTGAGTTCGCCAACTCCAATCTTATTTAGACAAGGTCATAGTCGAAGTGGAAGTTCTCTCCTCCCTTCAGAGAAAGGTACCTCCTTGTTTGATGGCCTGTTCTTTCCATGAGGATTTTATTTTTTTAAAAAACATCATCATTTATATTTAAACAGAAATACAAATCATTAAAAGTGTATGAACATAGAACATAAAATGTAGTTTTTACTTAAGCAGTTACATGAATGAGGCTGTTTTTAAGTTTCTACACTGATGACACCATTTTAACCACTGAACAAATTGTACTTAAATTAACAATAGTAAAAATTCAAATTTAAACATGAACATATGGAACAACAACAACAAAAGAACAGGAAGTATCTTCATTACCAAACAGATTAACAAATTCCCAAACACTCAGATAGTTTCTGAGGCATATCAAAACATCTACATCAGGCTGGCGCCATGGCTCAATAGGCTAATCCTCCACCTGCGGTGCCGGCACACCCGGTGCTAGTCCTGGTCGGGGCACCGGATTCTGTCCCGGTTGCCCCTCTTCCAGGCCAGCTCTCTGCTATGGCCCGGGAAGGCAGTGGAGGATGGCCAAAGTGCTTGGGCCCTGTACCCGCATTGGAGACCAGGAGAAGCACCTGGCTCCTAGCTTCGGATCAGCGTGGTGCACCGGCTGCAGCGCACTGGCCGTGGCAGCCATTGGAGGGTGAACCAATGGAAAAGGAAGACCTTTCTCTCTGTCTCTCTTTCTCATTGTCTACTCTTCCTGTCAAACAACAACAACAACAACAACAGAACAACAAAACCAACCAACATCAGAGGTTGCATTCGTTTGAGAGAGGTCTCAATACATTTCAGTGATGAGACTATTTATAGCACTTACAGTATACAAAAACAGCATTAGACTACTATGGTTCATATTTGAGAAACACAGATTTAAGCTTTATGTTACAACTTGCCAATTTAACATTATAACTAACACAGTGACAATTACTCATTTCATATTTTTTCTTCTTAAACCCAATAAGCAAGCTATCATTTAAGCATATGGAATAATGCCATGTTTTCTAACTTACAAAAGGAAATTTTAAAATCTAAATATTTTGCATCATGGAAACTACCTAGCTGTATAAAGGCTCCCAAATACAATCTAGTCATAAAATTTCTTCTTTGTAGATTTCATTAATTTATAGTTATTTTAGTACAGATAAATGCAGGACGCTACTCCAGATTATTGGGCCAAAAAATGTCAGTGTCACTACCTGTATTTAAGTACTAGCACACCAGAACTACAACCATGGCAAGTAAATGCCCTCACATGTCCTCCACTGCTTCTGGGGTTCTTTTCCACATCACAGGAGCTAGTTTAATGGATATTGTTGGGTCTCAATCTATCTTTGAAAATTCTTTTATTAAAAATTTTGAAATTTAACTAATGGAACAGCTACAGTCTCAGTAAACTAGTTCTCTGTTCCTACTTTTCACTAATTAGTTCAAATACAATATATAATGCTTCAAATTTTTATAGATACCCTGTTAAAATGGTTATAGGTATCTAAAATACCTTTAGTGGGTAAATATTAACAAAAATGACATTAAGGATATTTTTGAGACTATTTTGTTTTCTAACTAGAAAAACTATGGGGTTAGTAATGAACACAGATATAGTGACATTTTAGCCCTGCTGTTTTACATCAATAATAACAGTAAATGCATGAAGCACAGAAAAGAAGAGCAGGATTTCAGGAGAAAAATCTAGTAAACACTTGAATTTTGGATGCCTCAAACGCAAAAGGTTCACAGTGCTTATAGGCACTATCATTATTTTCATCCTTTAAGTAGTTCAAATCTCTATTTCATTTCTAATTTTATCTGGAAAAACCTAATTCATTATATAATGTATCTTGTCAGTTTCAGTTTTCAAGTATTCAAGTAATGCAAACCCAAGTACTTTCTTTTGTGGCAACAACACACTTACGGACTGAGCTTCAGTGACAGGGAAAAATCCATTCAAAATAACTGATCCACTCTTCTGCCCAAAGAATTATGACATACACAAATGATATGTAATAAGAGAAGGGAAGAAAAAGATAGTCCAATATAACCAATGTCTTCTTTCTAAAAAAGATTCACAGACTGCCTTAATCTGTGGCTAGATTCCCAGTAACAGGCCATTCTGAAATCTAAAGAACTACAAAAGAAGAACCAGAATAAGTTCGATTTCCCTGTCATTTTCCCATAAATGTTCCTATTGGATTTCTTTTGTACTTCTACTGGGAAATTTTCTGCCTTCACTTTCTTTCATAGTGATGACCATGTTTCTGTGTATAGCATATCCTTAAGCATCTTTCATAAGGCTGGACAAGTGGTGACAAATTCTTTCAATTTCTGTTTGTTATGGAAGCTCTTTATTTCACAATCATTCATATATGAGAGCTTTGCAGGGTACAGTATTCTGGGTTGACAGTTTTTTGTTCTTAAGACTTGGAATATATCTCGTCATTCTCTCCTATCCTGAAGGGTTTCTGATGAGAAGTCAGCTGTGGGTCTAATTGGAGATCATCTGAAAGTAATCTGGCATTTCTCTCATGCAAATTCTAGAATCATTTCTTCATGATTTACTGTGGAGAGTTTGACTACAATGTGTCATGGTGAAGATCTTTTCTGGTCATGTCTATTAGAAGTTCTATGTGCTTCTTGTACTTGGACATCTCTTTCTTTCTCCAAATTAAGGAAGTTTTCTGTAATTATTTCAGTTAAAAGACCTTCTTACCCCATTCTCTCTTTCCACACCTTCAGGAACTCTTAAAACCTATATATTGGGTTGTTTGATAGTATTCCATAAATCTCCAATGCTGTTTTTTAGTTTTCTAATGTTTTCTTCTTTTTTTTTGGTCTGACTGTAAAATTTACAGAGATTTGTCTTCCAACTCAGATATTCTTTCTTCTGCCTCACTGAGTCTGTTGTTAAGGCTTTCCACTGAATTTTTTATTTAATCTATTGAATTCTTCATTCTAATATTTCACTTTGATTTCTCTTTAAAATCTCAATTTCATTGGAAAAATGTTCATTCATTTCATGTATGGATTTCTTTAATTATGGATTTTCTTCTGATTACTTCTAAGTAATCCTATGATCAATTTTTTGAATTCTGTTTCTGGCATTTCTTCAATCTCTTCATTTTCACATTCTAGTATTTAAGTGTTGTGTTTTTTTGCAGGCATTATGTTGTCTTCCTTATTCTTGTATTTTGAGTTGCTACATTTGTTTTTGGGCATTTGTGGATATAGATATACTTGTTGTTTTTTTTTCCCCGCCCCGTGATGGCTTCTATCTTTGGACTATTCCTCTGTGCCTTAGTGGAATGTCTGCTCTTTCAGTGAATACCCTGAGGCATGTGCTGGATATGGCCAAGGAGCTCTGTTCAGTGCTTCAGGGTGGGGGGAGTATCCAAGGTGACATGTAAATTGGGTTTGTAAATCTCTCTCTATTTTCTTTTTTATCAGAAGGGAGGATTAATCTGCTGTGTTGTTGTAGTTTCACACTCATCTCCTCTCCTCCAGGGAGACCAATGCCTAGTCACTAGCGCCAGTGAGTATAATATTCATTCGCACTGCCACAAGAACCACACAAAGGATCCATGTGCTCCTCGGTGTGGGCATGGATTCCACAGCAATGACCCTCACCAATCAATCAGGGAGCCTGGAGCATGTGGGGCCACCCACAGTGACTACCCAAAGACCCATCCACACCCTGCACCCTCATACACAGCCACAGTGTTTTCACAGTCCAGGCACACAAGACTCCCACAGTCAGGAGCACCAAGCCCCCTGTCAGTTCTCCCAGCCAGACTTAGGCCTCTCAGCTCAACTGGTTGCTGGGAGAGTGGACACGAGGTGGCGAAGCTGTTATGTATGTCCAAAATGGCACTTGCCCTCTCTTGGCTAGTTATAGGATGCTGGTACTGGGTGCTTGGGGAAGGAGAAAAGCCCCCCCTCCACAGTTTTTTCTTCTAAGTTGGCAGGTACACTGTCCCCCACAGGGATACAAGCCATATTCATGCCAGGCTATTCCCACAGCTTTATCGCCAGTGATTTGGCTGCTGCAGTCTGGTCTCACCTTACTCTCCAAAGCTGGTGCTGAAGTTCTCGGCTGCTGGGGTCCTGAGTTGTACGTGTCCACACTCTCTGCATAGATCCATAGTATCCCTCTAATTTGTGTGGAGTTTCCTCTTCTGTTTTGAACCTAACTTTTCCCTGAGATTGGACTTTCTCCACTTTTTTTTTTATAAAACTCTCTTCCCCTAAACCTGAGCAGTAAGTTCCTTCCCTATTCCATCATCTTGGTGTCTCCCTGCTCCATCTCTGATCCAGCTCCCTGCTAATGTGCTTGGAAAGGCAGCAGAGGATGTGCTAAGTCCTTGCACCCCTGCACCCATGTGGGAGACCTGGAAAAAGCTCTTGGCTGCTGGCCTGGCCCAACCCCTCTCTCTGTGGCCATTTGAGGAGTGAACCAGTAGATGAAAGATCTCTCTCTGTCTCTCCATCTCTCTCTCTATAACTCTGCCTTTCAAATAAATAAATTTCTAAAAAAAATGGGAGTCTTTGTGTTGGACAAAGTTAGTATTAAATACTATGTATAAAGCATAGGCAGGGTAAAATGAATGACTACCACTTCTATGTCAAATTTAAGTCTTTCATTCCTCTCTCCCTCCTTTCCTTCCTTGTCTTTTGTTCTTTTTCCAGTTCAAAGATCGGTACTTGCAGTCTGACTTTACTGCTGTTCCTTCTTGTCTCTGCACATGATTCTTTTTGAGGCTCTTGCCTTCAGTTAGCCAGTTACCACTAACCTATCCTACCAGAGAGCAAATATTGGAGGAAACAGACGGAAGATCTGAGCTGAGCTCTGCAGCCTGTGGCAAATGTCTCTGTGCCTCACATCGGGATCTCGTTTTAATTCAGTACATTAGACAGAAGTTAAAGTGGGAGATGCCCAGATTGGGAGGAAGATCTCCAGGCAGAAGCAGGAAGCAAGGCTAGAGAAGAGGGAAGGAAAGAGATGCAAAGTGAACATGGAAGCAAGGGTAACAGGCAATGTGTGCGGCATGAAATCACAATCTGTATTCAACTGCAACAATTATTCTATATAAAGTTTAAGAAATCTTTCATTTGCTGATTAATTTCACTGGCTAGACATATCCATGTTCACACTGGCACATTATGGGAGACCTAAAGATAGGATGAAAGCAAACCACAGAAAGCTCTCGAGATATTTCCAAACAGTAACGGTTGGTGGTTGCTGGGACGTGAAGCCGAGTTGTTTAACTCAGTCATGACTACTACAGCAGAGCAGGTGGGAGTACAAAGACTGCTGCAGGAGGCTGCTCAGGTGTTTGGCACCGCTGGTGGTTGACTGTAGTGGGTTATTCTGACTGGTTGGCTTTGAAGTCAACTTCTCACCAGATTTGGGAAAAGCAGGGGAATGGTAACAAATAAAATTTAGAAAATTCATTCTGTTCTTTCCAACTTTTATAGATGTTCTGTTTTATAGGCCTAATGAATTGCAGGATTTTTTCTAAAGATTTTTATTTATTTATTTGACAGGTAGAGTTACAGACAGAGAGAAAGGTCTTCCTTCCATTAGTTCACTCCTCAAATGGCCACTACAGCCGGCACTGTGCCGATCCGAAGCCAGGAGCCAGTTGCTTCCTCCTGGTCTCCCATGCAGGCACAGAGGCGCAAGCACTTGGGCCATCTTCCTCTGCCATCCTGGGCCATAGCAGAGAGCTGGACTGGAAGAGGAGCAACCGGGACTAGAACCTGGTGCCCATACAGGATGTCAGTGCCACAGGTGGAGGATTAACCAAGTGAGCCATGGCGACGGCCCCAAATTGTGGGATCTTAACATGACATCTGTATTACAAAAATGAAACCTTATAATCTGCCTCTGGACTGAGTAAGAGGTAGGACTCTATTCCTATTCCCTTTCTCAGTTAAAGCATCAAACTCAGAATGTGTTCTGTTTGGCCCCACAAAATATTTTCTGATTATTAAGATAGAAAATATTTGGCCGGCGCCGCGGCTCACTAGGCTAATCCTCTGCCTTGCGGCGCCGGCACACCGGGTTCTAGTCCTGGTCAGGGTGCAGGTTCTGCCCTGGTTGCCCCTCTTCCAGGCCAGCTCTCTGCTGTGGCCAGGGAGTGCAGTGGAGGATGGCCCAAGTACTTGGGCCCTGCACCCCATGGGAGACCAGGAGAAGCACCTGGCTCCTGCCATCAGATCAGTGCGGTGCACCAGCCGCAGCGGCCATTGGAGGGTGAACCAATGGCAAAGGAAGACCTTTCTCTCTGTCTCTCTCTCTTTCACTGTCCACTCTGCCTTTCAAAAAAAAAGATAGAAAATTTTTAATTTTTAAGCTATTATCAATTCACTCTTGAGATCTATGGACTGTAGAATTATCTGTCACAAATGTAAAATTTAAAACACAGACAGTATTGTCTTTTTAGGGGCTTACCTAGTGAGAAGGGTTTATTTTGGGATGAAATAAATTTTCAGATCCTTTAGAATGCTTCCTTGCATCCTGAGTTCTCTTTAAAGTTACTGTATTCTTGATGCTAATTGCATTTTGAGGTACTTTGATGGAAATTCCAAGACAGCACTGTAGTACTGCTCAGAGCCACAGGATGGCAGGATGCTAACACCTTTGACTATTTCACTATCCCTTGCTTTAGCTTCTGTAAAAGTTCTCTTCACATTTTTGAGAGGAAGTGTTTTTAAAAGGAAGAGCACATACACGCACACACATACTTATATATACTTATTTACTTACTTATGAGCGACAAGTAGATAAACGTAGTGCAACAAAATATATAATTGGTTTTCAGGTTCTTTGAAAAGGACATGGAAAATGGAATTATAAGGAAGGGAAGCTTATTTGATGCAAAAAATTATGAAAAATTGTGCACAGTTTGTTCACAATATGCATATTCCATGACTTTTTAAAAAATACATATTTATCTATTTGAAAGTCAGAGTTAGAGAATGAGAGAGAGATCTTCCATCTGCTAGTTTACTTACCAAGTGGCCACAAGAGCCAGAGCTGGGCCAGGCCAGGCCAGAGCTGGTCCAGGAGCATCATCTGACTCTCCCATGTGTGTCGCATGGACCCAAATACTTTAGCCATCTTCCGCTGCTTTTCCCAGGCTGTTAACATGGAGCTGGATCAGAAGGGAGATGGCCGGGACATGAACCGGTACCCATATGTGATACCGGCCTCACAGGTGACAGTTCAACTTGTTGCGTCACAATGCTGGCCCCTCCATGACCCTCATATGCATTGCTTTAAACAATTTTTGCCCCAAAGTAAACTCAACTTTTAACCCTATTTTTCCATAAACATGTTAAAGTGTCCTCTTATATTTTTCTCAACACAAATAATAATTTTCGTAAATAATAATTTTCATGCATTTCTGTACCAAATGGATTCTTATCATATAAACCATAAAGTCTGATCTACTGTGGATCATTTGTGTTACTAAATTAGGGGAGGATGTAGCTCCATTCCTCAGGTTAGACAGCAGAGACAAAAGAACCTGCTTATTAATCTTATACTTCAGTGCTTCCCTAAGGAAGAGGATGGAAGTTTGCATTATTTTCATTTCCAAAAGGTGTATTAAAAATATAACTTATTCTGTGTTTCTGAATTGATGGAAGCATTAGAATTTCAGAAATACACACCTCCACTTGGCTTTCAAAAACTCAAGAATAAAAAGCTTTAATAAACTGGATTTTAGAAAATCCCAGCTTAAACTAGCATAACCTGTGGGTCATTGTTTGTCATCATTAATTTTACATCTGGTTAGAATTTTAATTTTTTTTATTTTTAAGTTTAATATTTTATGATTAAATATTTGAAAAAATTCAGTTTAGAAAGAATTGGAGGGTTGGCACTGTGGCGTAGAGGGTAAAGCCGCCGCCTGCACTGCCAGCATTCCATATGGGTGCCAGTTCGAATCCCAGATAATCGACTTCCTATCCAGCTCTTTGCTGTGGCCTGGGAAAGCAGTGGAGGACAGCCCAGGTCCTTGGGGCCCTGCACCCACGTGGGAGACCTCGAAGAAGCTCCTGGCTCCTGGCTTCGGACCCGTACAGCTCTGGTCGTTGTGGCCAACTGGGGAGTGAATCAGCGGATGGAAGACCTCTCTCTCTCTCTGCCTCTCCTTCTCTTTATGTGTAGCTCTTCCTTACAAATAAATAAATAAAATTTTTAAAAAAGAAATAATTGAAACAAAATTAAAACAGTAGAGTGTGAAAGTCTAAATTATCCAGATATGTTAACATTATAAGACTTTCTTTTTCTCAGCAGTATTCCTAAAATGTTTAAAAACATTTTAAAGTTTTATTTTGAATTTAATTGCTTTGTTTTTGCCTTTTTTAAAGTAAATGTGAATTTTAACTATTTCAATGATTTTTTTCCCTGTGAAACCCACATATACACAAAAATTCACAAACATGAGTTTAATTTCTTGATTTGTAGGATCTTAAGTAATCAAATTTAACATATTTATCACATTTACAATGCTTCCTAGAAATAGTCCTCAAAGCTACCAAGCAGTGATAAAACGAAATCTCATTAAATTTTTTGGAATAAATGAGTATTTGCAAAAAATTCATATATTTTGTTTTTTTTTAAATTTAGTATATATTAACTTTATGTAAACATTTATGCAGAGTATCAACATGATTTGATGGTGTCATGTATGTATTACAATACGTATGTTGAGTGTCAGAAATTATCATATTCTTGTCTAGTGAACCTGAAGCTTTCTGGTTATTTCCTTTCATATTATATCAGCAAACGAGGATTTAGCATCCGATCCTTTGGAACGGGAACTCATGTGAAGCTTCCAGGACCAGCACCCGACAAGCCAAATGTTTACGATTTTAAAACCACATACGATCAGATGTGCAATGACCTTCTTAGAAAAGACAAAGAACTCTACACACAGAACGGCATTTTGCACATGCTGGACCGAAGTAAGCGGATCAAGCCCCGGCCAGAGAGGTTCCAGGACTGCAGAGACCTGTTTGACCTGATCCTCGCCTGTGAGGAGCGCGTCTCCGACCAGGTGGTGGAGGACCTGCATTCCCGGGAGCAGGAGACCTGCCAGCCGGTGCATGTGGTCAACGTGGACATCCAGGACAACCACGAGGAGGCCGCCCTGGGGGCCTTCCTCATCTGTGAGCTCTGCACACGGAGGACATGGAGAACGAGATCGAGGAGCTGCTGCAGGAGTTCGAGAAGAGCGGCCGGGCCTTCCTGCGCACCGTGTGTTCCTCCTGAGCGGCCGCGCCCCCTGCTGGCAGCTTCCCCTCCCGACGCCTGCTTGTACCCAAATAAACTGTACCCGAAACCAAAAAAAAAAAAAAAAAAAAAAAAATCTATTTGTTACAGTTGCAAGATGATATCCAGAAGAGAGAAATCTACTTTTGGAGATACATGTATGCAGTCTAGCATTTTTTATGCAGTATAGCATTTTAAAGACATATTTTTAAAAATACAAAGTTGTTCCTTATTATAACTATCTTTGGTTTTTGAATTATAAATCTTATACTCTTTGATTACATGATCTTACATGTGATTTGAAAATATAAAAAGCCCAATACTTCCCAATTCTTTCTCTGTAGTTTGGAGTATTTTCTATGGCTGGAGAACAGAACTCCTTTGTAGAAGTTGGAAGGAAGTGAATGTTATCAGTTAAAAAGTCTCAAATATCCTGCAATTGTCTTGTTAGTCACTTGTCCTACTATGTCACAGTATATTTGACTTATGGTCTATCTCCCTTACTTAATTATAAGCTCCATGAGGCCAAAACCATCTATTTGGTTCACCGATTATATCCTCTGTGCCTTGCACAATGCCTGGGATTTAATAAATTTCCCAAAAAATATTTGTTGAATAAATGGTTTATTGGTATTGCAGGGACTGAGACAACAGTCCTAGCCAGTTCCCATACCCTATCTCCTACTCCAACAATTCCATTCAAAACCCTTCCAGGGCCATCCTCTCTTAGAACATGAGGGTGGTTCAGCACATTTTTCATTGATGTCAACCCAAAAACCAAGCGTTCTTCGGGAAATGAAAGTCAATCGATAATTCATACCTGCTTTGCGTCACTTTTCCTTGGAGTTGGAGCACAAGATTGGAGAAGCAAAACCAGAATGATATGCTTCTGCTCTTACCTCATCTGTTCTCTCTCCATTCTCAGTGGACCTCGGTCCACCTCGCCCCTTGACCTCTGTGTTTCTCACTCCACATTCAATCCATCACCAGATCTTATTTAGAGCCACTATTATCTCTCAATTAAATTACTCCAACAACCTCCCAATGGATCCCTCTGATTCTGTCTTTGGTCCTTTCCCTCTGTTCTCAACATACCAGCCAGACGGATGCCTTTAAGCCCTAATCATATAAGGTCAATTCTCTGCCTCCAAATTCCCATTGACTCTTCATCACAGAAGAGAAGGCCAAAGTCCTTACAATTACCTGAGATTGGTTCTTTTATTCCTCTGACAACATCTCCTTCTGTTCTTCCCTGAAAAAATTCATTCCAACCACACAGGCCTCCATTCCATTCCTGAGGACACAAAGCTGCCTCCTACCCAAGGACCTTTGCATTTCCAAGGATTTTTGCCAGGAATATGCCCCTTTCCATGTAATGTTTCTTTCTCTGACTTCCTTAAAGTTTTGCACAGACATTTTACTCTAGTAAGCCCTTGCCTGAGCACTGTATTTAGAATTATCACCTTTCTCAATCTCAATAGTCCCTGCCTTTTTCTTGAGCTTAATTTCCCCCAAACATGTATTACCATCTGAGGGCATATTTATTTATTTACTGTCTGTCTGGGATTCTCAACAAGTGAATCCATTCACTACCTAGCACTATGGGTCATTTCTGGGGTCCCTAATTGGTAGAGTTCTGGTTTGCTATATTCACTGCTGTATTCACATTACATATTTGAGGGCCTGGCACATTTTAGGTGCTCAGCAAACCTTCCTAAACAAATGAATTACACACAGGAGGGCAAATTTAAATTCTAGGGTAAAACCTCATGGAGCATTGATTTTACAGCAGACTAAGTAGAGAGATTCGAATCTCCATTGTGATCAATCAATATTTCCAAGATCAAAAAAGGTTGCTTGCCGGCACCACGGCTCAATAGGCTAATCCTCCACCTGCGGCACCAGCACACCGGATTCTGTCCCGGTTGCCCCTCTTCCAGTCCAGCTCTCTGCTGTGGCCAGGGAGGGCAGTGGAGGATGGCCCAAGTGCTTGGGCCCTGCACCCCATGGGAGACCAGGAGAAGCGCCTGGCTCCTGGCTTCAGATCAGCATGATGCGCCGGCCACAGCGTGCCAGCCGCAGCGGCCATTGGAGGGTGAACCAATGGCAAAAGAAGATCTTTGTCTCTCTCTCTTTCTCTCACTATCCACTCTGCCTGTCCAAAAAAAAGTTGCTTCCCACATGAGCTTTTTCCTTCCCTTTGGGGCAGGAGGGCACTCAATCTGATCGCAGATTTCAGCTGCCCTACAAGGGGCAAGGCGCTGGGCAGATGAAGAAACGCATGGGACTTTCTAGCCAGCCCTATTTTTTCTGCAACTCTGTGCAGTAGGATGCCTGGCCATAGGTCAGGAGGCTACAGCCTTAGCAGGAGCTGGAAATTTGTACCAGGATCCAGAAGGGAAACTGGGAAGTCACCAAACCATAAGACAGAATGAACATGACCTGGAAATCAGGGGGGAGAGAGAATTCCTGTCTTGTGTTGAAACTTTTGAGTCTGAGGGGAAGGGAAATTTTCAGTGATAGGGAATAGGAAAAGAGGGTTCTTATGAGCATGTGTGTGTGTTGGGAATGAGTAGTGGAGTAGTGGAGAGGAGGCAAAATTTTTCCTCTACCCTTTAAGGGGCTCAGCTGGACCTGAGAATTAAATTAGCATAAGATAGACAAATGAGAGAAAAGCCTAAGAATTGAATATGTTTTACATGACACAGAAAGCCTTGTAAGGAAATGAAGACCCAAAGAAATGGCAAACGGTGTTGTGGCACAGCGGGTGGAGCTGCCGCCTGCAATGCCAGCCTCCCATATGGGTACTAGCTTGAGACCCGGCTGCTTCACTTCTGATCCAACTCTGCTGTGGCCTGGGAAAGCAGTGGAGGATGGCCCAAGTCCTTGGTCCCCTGCACC